AGGTCACCTCTTTGCAATTTAATAAGTATAATTTGCTGACTTCAAAATTCCCATGACTTCATCAGAGCCTTCAACACAATAAAGTTATAATTTATGCTTATTGTCTAATACTAATTAGTAGAGCATATTTTCAATTTCAGAAATGACCAGTTTGGAATGATATGTGTCATTCTATGTGATCAGTTTTCAATGCACTTTATTAATGTGTTTTGCTACACCCTAAACTTTTCAATAGGTAGTAGGCAGCATACCCTACTATGAAAATAAATCAATTAAGCTGGAATAGAGTAAAATACACACCAAATTGGAAAATGAGCACCGAAAAATTGAATTACTAAGAAAATGAAATTAATGTCTTCACTCTTATGTTTGCCATAACTTTCAAGATACGGGATGCAGAGATGTTCATGCCATATCAAACAGATGAGGCAGTACTGTCCATCTGGATCATTCAGGAGCTTAAGAGGCTCATGTCTGAGGAGTAGGGCTAAACTGCCACCGCTACACTATGCCTTTCATAACAAAGCTTTTAGTAAAGCTCGATGAGATCAAGCATTTCTATAAATATTAAAAACCACCAATTTTTAAAAGATAACTTTTTTTTTTATTTTTAGAGACAGGGTCTTACTCTCTTACCCAGTTTGACACCAAATCCCTTAATTCAAGCAATCTTCGTATCTCAGCCCCTCAAGGACTTGGGACTACTGTTGTAAATAATGACACCTGTCTTATTTCAATGATGTCACAGCAGACATTACTATTCTTCTTTCCATATCTAGAGAAAATGCTCAGATAAAACAGGACTGATAGAATGAGGGAAAAGAGTGAAAACAATAAATGTACTTGTTCTGTTGTCTCATGTTACTTGTGGAATGCAATGGATTTCTTTATGACTAGAAGCCTGAGATGTTCCATCATAAACCTTTGTAAAGACCATGTAAAGACTTAAAGAAATCGTTTACTCTAAATATGTGAATATCTGAGTTAAAAAAAAACAATTTAAAGAAAGAAAAAGAAAGATATCCCATTAGATGCCAATAAAAACACATTAACACAACCTTTACACAAGAGTTTAGAAATACACATACATGTTTTCTAAAATATACAGATGCTTGCCCAATAGTTTCCCTCATGGAAATTTTCCCTATGGAAATCAGATGAAGTTTAGGTAATATTTCCTACATAAAGATGTTCACAACAGTATTACCTATGAAAATATATAGTAGAAAATAATCTTTATACCCAAAAGTAAGGAACTGGTTCTATAGTAAACAGCTTTTAGCCATATTTACATATTTATAATGAGAGAAAATTTATTGTAATGGTGTTTAGAATCTGAGAAGCAAGGCATAAATATATATAAACTATAAACTTAATTATGCTCCAAAATGAAACAGAAAATAAACAAAAAAAATGTCCAAAATGACTTACTCTCTGCTTCAAAGTAGGAAAGATGTTAGGTGTGGAGGGGCGAGGGTGTCATTTTTCTGCTTCTTAGAATTATCTGTATTTTCCAAGTTTACTACATTGAGCATTGGTTACTATTGTATCCAGGAAAGGGAAAGATATATTTAGGAGATTAAAAAACATAAATGAAAGAAAACAGAGTTTAAATAGCCCAGGCATATCATTCTATTTTCTCTTATTGGCTAAAATTTTATCATGAGTATTTAAATAGAACCATTTGCTTTCACCTCACACAAGCATTCTGCTGCATCAATAAGGAATTTCTACCTAAGAATATTTAATATCTGTTTTTCAGAGAGAAAATTACTTTTTCATGAAGGTATCAGGACATTTAGTTTTCATCAACTTCTACAAATGTACTATTTAGATACTACTTTCTGAGGGTTAATATATCAGTCCTGAGATACAGCACCACATGTTCTAAGCTTTTATCTCTCCCTAAATCATCAAAGAAAATAAACCCAAAGCTCATCCTGTATGTACTGTATATTTGAAACTTCAATTTTTAACATTCTTTTAATGGAGCCTGCCTGTGATGAATAATATTTTCTTGCCTGTTAGTACCAAGCTCTAAATAAACTTCTTAACCAGATTACATTCATGCAACTCTCATTGTAACGGAAATTGGAGAGAGATGGAAAAAGATTACAGGAAAAAAGCAGGTCTCACAAGTTAAATTTAATAATAAA